TTAAAGACAAATGTCTGCTTATTTTTTGCTCTGCTATCCCAAAAAACATGAAAACCAGGAGCATTTTGTTTATCCACTTTGCTGTCCAAGGAGGAAGTTTGCCATTTTTAATCAACACAAATGGCCCGCTGATGTTGTTCGTATTTAATTTTTTAAAACTAGTGCTATTGTTTCTTTCATGGTAGCATAATGACCAGTAGGAATTGAGCTATGTTTTTTTACCGTTATGTAAAACGACACATTTTAAACTACGTTTTGAACTACCAGCAAGAAGGCGCCAATCGTCTGGAGAGTATTCTGTCAAACCCATTTGTTCTAAAAGTTCTTTTATACTGTTACAGAATACCAGGTTATTTTATTTTACGATAAAATGTAATATTAGTATCAGGATAGCGAAAGTTCTTTTCTTTAAATCTAGAATTAAGTAATTCAGCAGATTCCTTTGGGAGATTTAAGTCTCTCATGAGATCATTCAGTTCTTGTTAATTGAAAAGCTGATGTGTTATGAAATCTGCTTTAAAACGATGTCGTTTTCTAATTGAATTATTTGAACTTCATTAGACGTTGATGTTTCTGTATTATCTTCCGGCAGTTTAGGACACCTGCTGAAAGAGAAAATGGATATTTCTTCCGAGTGCAGTACATGTCTTTTTGCAGAATATAGATCACGATATGTCCATTTGTGTCTATTGTTTCTATTCATGCTTTTAATATTAACTAAAAATCTGCTGGCAGTTTTAGAATCAGCACATTAAATAAATCTAAAATCAGTTCTTGGATTTCCGACACCAATAATTTTATTTTGTTGGCCTGTGTGCTTTAGGTATACACACCTAAAAAAATAGGTATACCCACGTTAAAAAAACAACAAAATTTGAGTAATTTTTTATTTTTCTCGTGAGATTATTTAAAAATATTTTAGTTGATATGAGCTTAAAAGACAAATAATTGTTATATCCAGCCCGCCAGGCCCAGCCGTAAAGGCAACTGAGAATATAGAAAAAAAAAAAGGAATAGATTAAAGAGGTTAAGAAGAAGAAAAGTATATGATTAATTGTGTGTATAGAATCGTGGTTTTGAGAGAAAAATAAGGTAAAATTTTGTTGACGTCATTAATTTATTTTTCAAAGTCAATATGATAAAAACAGTAAAACAAAAGATAAATAACTAAATACCCAAGTATTAGGTAGATTCTATGAAATAAAAAAAGTAGTGATAGCCATGTTAACCACTTCTTTTTTATATTTCTTCACTGTGTGGTCTCTCAGACCACACATTCACATAACAACGGTTTGGAAAGTGATTGAACTAACACGAAATAAAATAATATGGTATAGGTACTATTAGTACCTTCTAAATGTAGTTGTTTTAATTTTTTTATAAAAATATTTTAAGGGAGAATACTATTCTTAAATAAAATTATGGATTTTTAAGAGCTGTTATATATTTTTCTGTTATGCAGAAGTGTATTTTGATACTACATTACAATTAATTTGCTATTGATGCGGACTTATCTCACACTAATATTTATTTAACTATTTTTTAAAGCGTTGTTAGTGGTAATTCTGTAACGAATATGTTAAATTTTAACGGACGCAAAAAAAATAACCTACGTTAATGTTGTTATTCTGTAACGTTTCGAAGCATACATTTTAACATGTATTATCGAGAGTAGTTCAAATATAACATTTCCTATTCCGTATTACATGGTAAGTTAAAAAAATAAACATTAATAGGTTAAAAGGGAGCGTTAAAAACATAATTTTAAGTCGTACCTACCTAGTACCCGCTACCGATTAACATATACTTTAAAATGGCTTTGGATGGATTAATACATCTTTTAATCCAAGAATATAATGAAAATAGACAAAATATGTAAGAATATTTACTTTATAATATATAAAATATGTTTTAAAACCGTAAACTAATTTCAGTTTAGTAAACAACTTGAATTGCAGAAACTTAAGAGATACAAGTAATCCGTTTGAACTCCCAGATGGACTATTTTTGAAACTATTTAGGCTGGACAAACCAACATGTCAATATTTATTTAAATATTTGGGTCCACATTTGAACCAACTTACCAGAATTTCAAAAATACCCATTCATTCAAGAATACTGACAGTATTACATTTTTTTTGGCCAAGGAAGTTACCAGACAGGGGTCGGTCTCGGACATTGTTTTGCAGTAAGTCAGCCTGTAGTGAGTAGATGCCTAACAGAAGTATGTACAGTAATAAAAGAACATCTGGCAAATCAATGGATTAGATTTACTTCAACACAGGAACAAAAACATATTACAAAACAAAGATTTAGGGCATTATCTGGTTATTTTGAAGATTGTATAGGAATTGTTGATGGAACTTTAATTAGAAATATTTCACCACCAACAAACCAATAAATTTATCCAGGGCCGGTATTTTATTGCAGAAAAAATTTCTATGCATTAAATGTTCGTCATATGTGACCATAATAAAAAAATTAAAAATGTAAATGCTCGACACCCTGGATCAGTACATGCTTCAGCCATTTGGATAATGTCTAATATTCGGCAGCTCTTAGATAGAGATTACATAAATACCAGTTCAAAAGATTACCTACTGGGGTGAGTGGATATCCCTTCGAACCCTGATTATTAATTCCAATTGAAGATGCTGCTCCAGATAGTCCAGATATAAGATATAACACTGCACTTTCATCTGTAAGAGTTAATGTTGAACATACAATAGGATTAGTAAAAAATAGGTTTCGTTGTATCCATGGACAAAGAGCATTATACCATACTCCTAATAAAGTGGCAGACCTAATTTATAGCAATGTAGCTCTACGTAATATAGCTACAACCAGAGCAGTACCAATGCCTATTGATGTCGAAGAGGAAACAAATTACGTAGAACTTCCAGTAAATATTAATCCAGTACTAGATGGCAATGATTGGCTCAATGTGGGAATAATAAGAATTCAAATTATTCAAAGATATTTTGTGAGATAATTTAGTTTTAATTTAGATTTAAAATCTTAGTTAATTTATTTTTGTTTTAAACAGGTTTTCCAGACCTTTCGCAAAGTTTATTAACTCCCTATTTTAAAACTTGCAAGAATATTTAAATTATAAAGAATCCTGATCTTTAAATTTTAAAATATTTTTGAAATATATAAGGTATAACCTTCACTTTAGACCCCTTATTCTTTCTGTGTGGTTAAAGAGGCTAGAAAATCTTATAGCTGCCTGCTCCCCACAGGGAGTAAGAAACAAATAAGACATTTAAAAAATAGTACAGCATTAGAAATACACAAACTTTATAGAATAAAAATTTATTCAAATAGGTAAGTAACAAAAACAACGTAAAAGCAAAATAAATATTTTAGGTCACTAATAAATTACAAACAAATAAAAATAATACAGATTCTAGAAAACAAAAAATGCAGATCCTTCTAAATAAAAAATTATGTATTTAAAATGTTAATAAAAATACTGGTGCTTGCTCACACGTAACACAATATCTGCTAATCTGTTATTGGAAGCTGCCAGATTATTGAGATACTGCTCATGGTTGATGGCGATATTGTTTATATTTCTTTCGATCCTCTTTTTTTGAGATAGTACCGTCTTGCTCCAGTTTTAGGCTAAAAAAGTAGTCTACTAAAAGTATGTAAAATATTTGAAGAAAATTTATTTTACTCACTTGAATATTTTTTGACTATAAGATTGTAGAAATGAGACGTGGGTTTTCAACCGTAGAAATAGAATTTGGATAATCCGCAGTCGAAGTGGAAAGTTGATAATAAGCAGTCGAAGTGGAAGGTGAAAAATCAGCACTCAATGTGGAATGGGTATCACCAAAAGACGTAGATGGGATCACTTCATTATTATCTAAAATAAGTTTAATATTTTCAACCTAAAATAATTTAAAGTGTGACATTACCCAATAAACACAGTTAATCGGCACCGTATCTGGGCCGAAGGAGGCTTGCCGAAATGTCGGCAGCCCACTACATTGTCTACGAAACCGTCATCGGCCCGTAGCTATCACAGACAGTTCTTGCGGCTGCTAGCAACACCACCTAAACATGTACGATGCCTAAACTAGAAGGCCACACAACTCCGCTATGACGTCATCATAAAGAGGCGAGTGCTGTGAAAGATGTTCGATTTTGAATAGAATCAATCATTTTAAATGTATTTATATCACTAAATGATTTATTATTGTTTTATTATATTACACTTACCTTTGTACTCAATGGAAAAAATAAATACAGGATAATTAAGTAAATAACACTATTTGAAATTTTTATATTTATATATATTTACAATCACAACCTGCTACATTTATTACTGTTAAGTATTATTTTATTAGTACCTATATATCGTTTAAAATTTACGTACTACATACTTATTTATATTTTTCTAATTGCTCACAGAAAATATTTTTGCTTCTCTTTTGTTTTTATTCAATGTTTTTGGAATATTATTTTTAATTTTACAATAAAGAGGCGAGTGCTGTGAAAGATATTCGCGTTCGATTCTGAATAGAATCAATAATTATAAATGTTTTATTTATATCACTAAATGATTTTTTAATGTTTTATTATATTACACTTACCTTTGTACTTAATGGAAAAAATAAATACTTAGAGGATAATTAAGTAAATAAAACTATTTGAAATTTTTATATTTATATATATTTACAATCACAACCTGCTACATTTATTACTGTTAAGTATTATTTTATTAGTATATATTGTTTACAATTTACGTACTACATACATATTTTTCTAATTGCACACAGAAGATATTTTTGCTTTTATTTGTTGTTTTTGCAATATTATTTTTAATTTTACAATAATTGTTTATTAAAATGTTCATACAACTATAAACTAATTTTTTCCATAAATATGTAGACTCATGTTTCTCGCAATATTGTATAAGTTGCACTCATCTACGTTTTCCAAAATGGCCATTGTTATTAGAGTTATACTTTGTCTCTGATTTTGAAGATTTAAAAATATTTGCTCATTATTTTCAACTAAAATTTTTTTAAATACAATATATGTATAAATTATAACTAAAACAGGTATGTCCGTTGGATATTTTAAACCACCTTTGTCTAAATTTAAAATAAGGCTATGCTAAGGAGATATACAAGTTATTCCATCAATTATCAAAAAGTCTTGACAATTCTGACACCTATTTTTTTTTAACAGTGAATAGATTAGATTAGATTAGATTAGGAGTTGGACGTTATTTGTCCTTGTCCACCGCGACCTTTTCAGATCTATTGTGGGACTCCATTTGTTTTAGAGTATGTCGTCTAGCCTGGTCTTTTTTATTAGACTTAGTAGCTTTGACAGTGGCTCCCGCATGTAGTTGCATGCAATTGGCTTTTCTTCGCCCAATGTTAACCTCATTCCAGCCAAACCTTCACATTGGCACAGGACGTGGAATGATGTTTCCTCTTCTTCTTCACAGAACCTGCACAAAGTTGCTTCTTCTGCTGGATTTATGACACTCATGTGCCTTTTGAGGCGACAGTGTCCAGTAAGAAGGCCTACTGTTATCCTAACGATTTGACGTTTTTGATCCAGTAGGTCTTTCGTAAACTTGGCCGATGGTTCCTTGATGAACTGTTTGGCCTGTCTCAGTCTTGGATAGTTGTTCCACCATTCCTGAGACTCTTTTTGCATCCATTGTTTAATGGATGCCTTGCACAATGCCTTAGCGACTCCACAAAAGGGTTCAGGGCCTGTCATGGCCTTATCTGAGCCTTCTCGGGCCAATTCGTCGGCCTTTTCGTTGCCCTGATATCCCTCATGGCCTGGAACCCAGGCTAAGGTCACCTTATTTTGACTAAGCTCTGTCAGGTCTTCTAGACAGTCTTTCACCAGTCGTGATTTAATTTCTTGTGAGAGAATTGCCTTTAGAGCTGCTTGGCTATCTGAGTATATGGCAATAGTTTTGCCTGATACTTGCTGATTTAATATTTCTCTTGCACAGTGTTGTATGGCTATTAGCTCAGCCTGGAACACTGTTGCATATTTTCCTAAGCTTAGTGAAATCGTCGATTTCGACTTAGGTCCATAGATTCCAGCACCGGCTCCTTCCTTGGTTTTTGAACCGTCTGTGTACCAGACGAGTTCAGCCTGTCGGGAGGTCCCTATTTCCAGGATTCTCGGGCTGGTATTTGAATTTAAAAATTTCTTTCAAATTTGTATGTGGTTATGGCTCTATCAGTAGGCATAGCTAGAATATTATTCCTTTGTACTTGCTGATATAGCCTTGTGTGGTCGGCGCTATGTAGTTGGCTTATTGGGTTTTGTCCCTGCATTAGCCTGTGAATAGCTGACCTGGTTTCTCCTTGTATGAAGATGTGCAATGGCGTGAGATTTAGTAATACCTCCATTGCTGTGGTCGGCGTAGTGCGCATGGCCCCAGTAGCACTTAGACAGGCAAGCCGCTGAATGCTAGTGAGTTGGCCTATTGCACTTGCCTGCGCAGTTTTGGTTACCCACGCCACTGCGCCATAGGTTATCATGGGTCTTATTACTCTTGTGTATAACCATATGGTCATTTTGGGGTTTAGACCCCAGTTTTTCCCACATATTCTTCTACAGCTTACGAGAGCTATTGTAGCTTTATGTGTGAGTTTTTTGAGATGTTGATTCCATGTCAGCCTTTGGTCAAATATGACTCCGAGGTATTTGGCTTCTGTGACGAATGGGATAACTGTGCTGTTTAGTACTAGTGGTCTTAGACCTGTGAGTACCCGTTTTTTTGTGAATGGTACAACTGTTGTTTTTTGTGCGTTGATGGACAATTGTTCCTTTTTGCACCAGTTGTTCACTATGTTTAGAGCTGTTTGAGATTGCTCCGAAACTGTACCTGCAAATCGCCCCCTGACGATGATTGCTAGGTCGTCTGCGTATCCTAGGCACTGGTAGCCTTCTTTGGACAATATTTTGAGTAAGTCGTCCACGAGAACTGACCACAGCATTGGATATAGTATTCCTCCTTGTGGGCGGCCCCGTGTAACTTTTGCCTGTATGGTTGCCTTTCCTAAAGTGGATAAAATAATCCTGTTCTCTAGACAGGCAGTGATCCATTGGCATATTGTTACTGGGACGTTTCTCCCTTCTAGAGCCTTGGTTATTGACCTGGTTGAGGCATTGTTGAAAGCTCCTTCAATATCTAAGAAAGTGGCTATTGCGATTTCTTTGTCATCTATTGACTTTGAAAGCAGCCTGTTTAGATCGTCCAGCGCTAGGTCAGTTGACTTTCCTGGCTGGTATGCATATTGGTTGGGATGGAGCGGATTTATTTTTAGTATATCGTCCCTGATATACCTATCTATTAATCTTTCTAGTGTTTTAAGTAGGAAGGAGGATAGGCTTATGGGGCGATATGACTTTGGCGTTTGGTCTGTGACCCTACCTACTTTAGCAAGGTAGACTACTTTCGCCTTTTGCCATATTGCTGGGATATATCTCCAGGCAATACATGCCCTGAAGATTTTGCATAAATGTGGCATTAACACATCTTTTTCCTTCTGGAGCAGAATTGGATATATTCCATCCGGCCCCGGGGATTTGTATGCCTTAAATTTGTTGATAGCCCAACTAATCCTGTGTGGTCTTGTGATTTCGGAGGCCAGCTTCCAGTCTATTGGAGTTGGTCTGATCCCCTTGTGACTGTAGCTCTCTTGGTCTCCTGAGTCTAGTCCTGTTAGGATAGTTGAGGCCGGAAAGTGCACCTGAGTTAGTATCTCCAGACTTTCCTCTAGTGTCGTGGTGTAGGTATCATCCTCTTTTTTGAGGAATCCCACTTGACTAGATGTACTGTCTTTGGCTATAACTCTATGAATTCTAGCGCTGGCGGTGGTCTCTGAGACCTCTTCGCAGAACTTCCTCCATGAGTTTCTTTTAGCCTTGCGTACTTCTTTGTTATACTCTGTGAGCTTATTTTTATAAGTAGTCCAGTCTTGTGTGGATTTGGCTCGGTTGAATAGCCTTCGCACCTCGCCTCTCAGGCTATCTAGGTGTTTATTCCACCAGACTATTTTTCTCGTTCGGCATCTCTCTTTTTCGAGACAGTTTTCTTGGTAGGCATCAGTAATTGCCTTGTTTACCAAGTCTACTGTCCTTTCGAGAGTTTTTGTTTCTCGTACATTGGTGGTTTCCTCCTTGAGAGACGAATTGGGAACGTTTCTGTCGGATTTCTAAACCTGTCTGCTGTACGAGTTGGACATTGTATATGGAATCGGATATGTCTGTGATCTGAACACGATGGTTCATCAGACACATGCCAGTCCCTGATTTGGTCATTTGTGCCTCTCGAACACATGGTCATATCTAGAACTTATTTTCGGTTGGCAGTGACAAAAGTTGGTTTGTTGCCTTTATTGGCAATTTCTAACGCTTCACCTAGAATGAATTGTAATAGTGACTTACCTCTTGGATTGATGTTGGTGCTTCCCCAGATCGTGTGGTGTGCATTCGCATCGCATCCTATTATGAGGTTGAGTTTCTGCTCCTCGCAATGGGCAATGATTCTGCCTAGTATTGCTGGTGGGCATATTCTCTCCTCTCCCGGGAAGTAGGCGGAGCATACAACATAGCTCTTCTCTCCCTCTTCCGTTTGGATTGATAGCATAGCTGTAACAAAATTACCGGTGCAAAGCACCGGTATTAGTGTACAATTAACCCTGTTGCTGTATATTATGCAAGCGCGGGGTTTTTCATTCCCTTTGCTGTACAAAATCTTACCTTGTTGCGGTTTTAGTCCCGCGACTTTTCCACAAACAAGCCAAGGTTCCTGCAGGAGGGCTATATCCAAGCCTTCCGTGTCGAACGTCCTACATATTATGGCAGATGCTGCCTTAGCATGGTGGACGTTCGCCTGCAGGACCTTTATGCCCCGCTGTGGCTCGTTGAAGGCGCCGAGAGATCTGCCCTCTGACCTTCCTCTACCTCCATTGGGGAAACCGACTCGGGGCTTTGTGGCCTTTTGAGAGGGCTTTCGCCACTTTTGGTAGAGGGGTCTTTGGCGGACTTCTTGCCTTCTTTGCCCTTGGCGACGTTCGTCCTTTGGGCGGCCGGCTTTCTGAGGTCTGGTCTTTTTTGGCCCATTTTGGCCTTGACCTTTTGCCCCACCGGCTTTATTTTGGAGCCTTTTTGGACCGGTTTTGCCCTGTTCCTCTCCTTTTCTTCATGTTTCGTTTCTTTGAGACGGAACTTTATACGTCCCATTCCAAAGTACGGTGACATGTCCAGCTTCTGGAGTTCGGTGTATTACCCTTCGTCCACGGAGATGGCCCAAGTTTGGCCTTTCTCCATTGGAGTTGGGGTCAGAACCTTCCAGAGGTTGATTTTGAGGGTGTTGTTGCTGACCCTCAGTCTGTTAAGGACTCTTTGGGCATCTAGCCTCTTTCCACCCTCGTCTGCTATGTACGTTGTACATATCCTTGGTTTTGGGATGTCGATGTCCTGCCGAGCCTCGAGGGTTGCACCTTCCCAGGGCCTTAGCGTGGGCACCACATCCTTTAACCATTGTGCACTAATGCTGTCTGCACAACGTACTACAATATATCCCGGCCTGTGTGTGCATTTGGCAAAACGCACCTGTGGCCCTCCCATGGGGATACCTTCGTAGGCACTTATTATGGAATCTTCGACAGCTGTCTGCTGCTCCGTTTCCATAAGTGCCTCTGGAAAGCCGGTTCTCACCACTGCGATCTTTGTGGTGGTAAGGGCCTCTTTGAAGGTTACCCCTTCAATTTTGGCCTTCTTTTCCACTTTCCGATCTGCAGGGGGAGTATGTCCTTCCGATCTTGGCCTTTTTGTGGTCTTTTTTTCGACCTGGCTGGCCTCGGTGGTTGAAGTTTGAGGTGGCTTAACCTGGGATCTGACAAAGTTTTCCTTGATTATGCCTCGTTTGGCAGCAATGAAATATTGGCCAGATTTTACCAGGTTGTTTAGCCTTGCTCTCGTTCGACCGGATATGACAAAGAATCGGATTTCTGTGTCTGACATTAGGTCAATCTCCTCTTCGGATGTGACCCTTCTGGATTTGGGCCTTTTAGATGTTGATGGCACATTTGCCTGGTCAACTTCCGTGGCCTGTTCCGTTATCTCTGGCACTTCTGCCTGAGATTGTTCTTCTTCGACTACTGCTGGTGGTATATTTGCCTGTTCAGCAGTAGAGGATTCTGAATTCGTTGATTTTGTATTTTCTAGGTCCATATTGTTCCCACGAGTAGCTGGGGAAAGATACGTCAACCCGCCCAGAGCCCCGCCTTAGACGGGCAAGCCTACTTACTCGGGAGATCGGCCGGTTTCCCGAGGTACCGTTTGACACAGCTGTTTCGATGCAGACACAGCTGCTATTCATCCCTCGGCACGGTTTACTGACACCTTAGATTAAACCTGACGTTCTTTCGTCCTTCTTGGTTAGTTTTCCATGGCTCCTACTTCCAAAGGCATGGCATATAAATACCTGTGCCTTTGGCCGTAGGGTCATAGCCTTAAACTGTAAGCCTCTCCGCTACGGCAAAGCGAGGACCCGTAAAGTTGCGACAGGATAGATTATCCCACCTCAACCTCCGGCGGAGGTGAGTTGGTTCGCGGCGGCAGGTTTCGCAAAGGATTTTGGTGGTTTTTATATCCCCTCACCCTACTTATATCTGCCACTGGCCAGAGATTCTGGCCGTCCTCCTATCCACCACCCGGAGACGCGCCCGGTAGGCTCTCAACCCTCGGGTAACAGTGAATAACAACAATAGCCAGTTATATAAGTTAATACACAAATATCAGTTTCATTTGATCTAGCAGAATCTACAACAGTCTGTTCCACAGTTAAACTGTTTAGAAAACTAGTTGGAGTAATAAAATAATCATGATCTTGGTTAATTTTATCTCTATCATTAAATTCATTTAGAGCAAGTTTCTTATTATCAGCAATATTTAAATCAAGAGAGGACATTAATCTAATTTTTTTTTCAATTTCAAATACTTGTCGAATTGATATGTTATATTGACCACCTGCCAGTTGTCTATACTGGCCAAACCTAGCTTCAAGGGCATCAATCTGAAATTTACCAGGCAATATATATGACCAATTTAATTTGGAAAAACAATGTTTACTTAATTCTACAAATGCTTCGGTTGTTTGTCTGATTGCCGTAAAAGTTTGTGGAGTCAATTTTCCACTTGTAAGATTCATTTCATTCCATTTATCAAGCCACTTCAAAAATTTATGTAAAAATAATATTCTACAATCTGCACTGCCATTTGTTATAGGTTGTTGGTATTTATTGTTATGACAAATCCCTTTTAAAGGAGTCTTTACATTAACAATATTCCACCAAGCTGTAATAATTTTAATAAATTAAGCAGTTCCTTCACAATGATCTAGATTCTGTTTACTCCCTACAACCAAAAATGCGTTTGATATGTTCTCATTAAATAATTGGCATACCAATTGTACATTTTGCCTTTTAAAACAAGATGGCCACAGTGCTTTTAATGTTAAACCGTATCCATATTTGAGTAGTTCATCTTTTTCAATATTAAATAAGGAGCGGACAGTTTTAAAGGATGCAATTTTTTGAATAGAATAATTGTCAAAATCAGGATAAACAAAATCTAATTCATCATTTTTTTGATTTATCCAATTATTCCTTATACACTTGAAAATGTGAACTGAATCAATCAGATAAAACAGTATTTTTTCTTGTGAACTAGGGTGTGGATTAGTCAACATTACTTGTGGTGGTGATACAAAATAAGACATAGCCTTACTGTTAATAGCGTTATTATCACTAATCACTGCTAACACATTAACAGAAATATTTTCCAAACCAACAATTATTTTATTAATATACGTGTTTAAAATGCTACCCGTTATTACTTTAACAGGTAGAATATGTACCACTTCTTTTTTTGGTGATAGAACACTTTGAATCATGAAAACATATGCTGAATTGGCAATTGAAGAATCAATGGATTATGTACCTACAACATTGCCCCCCTTATAGTCAATGTAAGGTTTTATGTGAATTTCATCAATCATTAAAGATATTGTTCGTTCTTTTTTCTCAAATGAAATATGTCTCTAATACATTGTAAAAAATATCTACTGTTTTGTTCAATTAAAGGATCACAGTTTAGTGAAGAACATAAAGATTTTACAGTATTTGGGTGTGGTAAAATTAACAAACCTCGACTTCTCAAAAAATTGTATGCATGAGGTGATATTGAGTAAAATATTGCACATATTATAAGAAATTCACTACTGTATGATCTCTTATTTTTATGTACAGTATGCAAGCATATCTGTGCCTTTAAGAAATCAAAAGCAGCATTTGTGCCCACATTTGAAATTTCATCTAGTAACTGCAAAATAATTATTTGTTTTTTTGACACATTATTATCACCTAATGAATTTGTTTTAATAAAACCTTCTGTATGATTTATTAAATTTTCTATGTCAGTTATGCTTGTGATTTTTAAGAACTGTTTGTTTAAACATTTCAGTTGAATCCCCTTACTATACACTTTAGTTTCCAAATTTTGTTCTATAATAATATAAATAATGCAATGAGGTTCTCTACTTACATCGGTGTATAAAATAACAACACAACTAGATTTTTTTATAACACTCCAGTCCTCATTAAGATTTAAAAGGTTTATTTTTAACTTAAAGTCACTCAAACACGTAACTGAATATTTTTCTATATATTCTGCATGATCAGATGTGCTTTGTTCTAAAGCCCTTTGTAAAGCTGAGGCTTCTAATTTCTTTTTTTTATTCTCTGGAGAATCCCTGTTGGTGTTTAACTGACTACGGGACAAATAAAATGGACAATTGGGAAAAACTGATGGAACTGCTGTAGCAGACAAACGAGGCTTCAATAAGTTGACAGTTAGCATTTGTCCAGATTTCCCATCAAATTCGCTCGTTTTCCACAAAATATCACCCATTTTAAAATGAATATGGCAAACCTGGAACAATAATATCAAAATGAGACATAGTTCATTAAATAAAAAAAGACATGGATTAATGTAAACAGTATACATAGATAATATAAAAATAATGCATAAAATATTTCTGAAAATATATGTAAATAAAAACTTACTGCTGAATATTTTGAAGGCACAAAATTTTCTCTAGGTATGGAAAAAACCCATTTTTCAATTAATTCCGTATCTTTTGGAAACTTAAATATGTGTCTCTTATTCTCACTGTCATAATTTCCCCTGCACATTGGCACACAACACTTTAGTACCATTTTTTATTATCTAACTAACGTTTCTTGTTCACAATATGAAGGCAATTAAAAATACAAACATACAAACAACGAATGCCAAAGCAAAATGATCGCCTCTTTATGATGAATCATCGACAGCTGTCAATATTAGTTGTTTGGCCTTCTAGTTAAGGTGGTATTGCTGCTAGCCCATATTCGGTAAAAAGATGGCAAATAGTGGACGCTCGGAACGGGTGCTTGTACTGACGCCCAGAAGCGGTCCATATTCGGCTAATAGATAGCAAATAGTGGATGCTCGAAAAGGGTTGGCACTGAAGAGATATCTAGTTTTAACTGAATGCGGCCATCATCAGGGCTATAATAAATAAAAGCTATAATTACCAGAACATTTGTATTACAAATATTCTTTCATTATAGCTTTTTATATTACAAGCCTGATGACGGTTGGATTCAACTAAAATCAGTTGCCAGCTTCAAATTTATAAAATAACATTACTTTCATTCACACTTTATTGGATTGTCAGTGCATTTTGGGCTTTATTAATAAAGAACAAAAATGCATAACTTAGCATAGTACTAAAGTAGAAAACATAATTGTCACCAAATTAAAACCTTCCTTTTTTGAAGATTATACATGTAATAGGATCTTGGTCATATTAAACAATACAATATCTAATCAAATACATTTTATTTAAACATATAATAAGGAACATAATATGTGAAAAAATACAAGTGGGTAAAGGTATATGTTAGCAACCCCGTAAGAGACGCCGCTGGAATATCTAGTACTATGACTCATTAGGCGATAAGTCGAAATCACCAGAAATTATATAAGCGTTTTATTTAGATATAGGGCATTATTGTGCGAATCATTATACAGTTTAGTCGAATATAATAAATAGTGAAGTTAAATAGTCGAGTTTAGGTCCGTAAAATTGGCAGTGCAAAATCGGCGAAAATAAAAAAAAAAACGCCAAAATTTGTTGCTTTTTAGTTGCTAATTAGTTGCCAAAGAAACGATTTTGTTGCTGAAACCGATCAAAAAAAATCGGCAATGAATCTAGCTTAACGTTAAGTTAGCGTGAAAAAATAAATAAAGGTGTGGTATATTGCTTGATTGCAAGTCAATTTGTTGCTAATTTGTTGCTTTAAAATAAATTTGGAAAAATTGAATTTTTCCATTTTTGTAAAATTTAATACTGTCCACGCCAGCTTAACTCCCAATTTTTCCAGGTTAATTTTGATCAAATAATTTGTTGCTGCTCCTGAGGTGACTTCTCAAGGTGTGTTAGTGTTACAACCCTCTCCTAACATCAGAAGTGGTTCGACTCGCCCTGAAATGGGTAGAAAAAGAACGTATTCTTCTTCGAGCAGTTCTAGTTCCTCGAGTTCTACTAGTTCTTCGTCCAGTTCAAGTGCTTCTAGATTAAATAAGAGACGCAAGAAAAGTAAACAAAAAAAGAATTTAAAAGTACCTAAAAACAAGGCGGGGGTAAGTCAAGTCTCATTATCCTTATTATCGGAAAAACATGTTATATCTAATGCAGTACCCGAATTTAACCCGTTATCAGATAATATCGGCTGTTGGATTGAAATTATAGAGCATAATGTAAAATTATTTAATTGGGCCGAACACCAGACTATCCATCAAGTTGTGAATAAGTTACAGGGTACAGCAAAAATTTGGTATGAAAATTTAATCGCCAACGACAAGCAATGGCCTAGTTATAGTTGGTCCGATTGGAAAAACAAATTGATGGAGACATTTCATTCTAGAAGAGATATGTACACACTTTTAATTGAATTAGCAAATCATAAGCCTTCAGATGGATGTTCTTTATATGAATTTTTCTTTACACACTTAGCAAAAATTGATAATTTAAAACTAAATTTTTCAATCGAAGATAAAATTTCATTAGTTTTGGGTGCTATAAATGATAAAAATATTACTTCAGCAGCAGAAGCAGCAAATATCAATGATTTAAACATCTTAGGGTCTTATTTGCGAAACAAAGTTTATTGTAAGATTTCAGAAAAACCACAAAAATATACTGAAGTTTCGAATAACAATTATTATAGTAAACCTGTTGCTAGTACCAGTAAAGATTTTGGCCGTAGGGATATTTTTGACAAATTTAAAAAAGTAAATTACGAAAGACAAAGGAATTTTTCAACGGTGAATCATAAAATTATTATTTGTCATAGATGTGGTATAACGGGACAACATATTAGTGATAATTGTCCTCACCGACACAAAATTTGTAACAATTGTAAAATAAAAGGTCATATTGGCAGAGCTTTTAAATCTGCTGTAAAAAAAGAAAAAAATAATGAAAAACAAATAAATTTAACAAAAACTGAAAACGTTAACATGATAACTAACAAAGAGGCAAAAAAATTTTTCAAACCGGTTCTTAATAATCAAGTTATGCAAGCGTTTATAGACTTAGGAAGTGATTGTTCATTGATTGAGAAAAATTTAGCAATTCGACTTAAAATACAAGTTAAAAACTTACAGGAAAAAGTGCGTCTTACGGGGTTCAATGGTGACGTAACCGAAGTGAATGAATATGTCGAAACTGAAGTAACTATGGAAGGGTGTAAATTAAATATTTTATTATATGTTACAGTTAATACTTTAAAAAATACTGAAATTTTAGTAGGACGTAATTTTACGGAAAATCCAAAAATTTCTTATTATCGTATTGGTAATGAATTAACTTTTAAATATTCAGATAATTTACAACTTTTTCAACTTGAAGTTAATCACGGGGACTTAAATAAAATAGATAAAATGAAATTATATAATATTATTGAAACATTTCACAGTTGTTTATATTCCTCTATGGAAAAATTGGGCAAAGCACATTCGGTAATAATGAAAATAGAGACTACTACATCCAAACCAGTTACATTTAGACCTTATAGGTTATCACAGTCAGATAAGGATATCATGAAAAAACAAGTTGGTGAGTTACTTTCCGCCAATATAATAAAAAAAAGTAGCTCAGAATATGCTAGTCCAGCTTTATTAGTAAATAAAAAAGGAGGGGATAAAAGGCTAGTTATTGATTATAGGGCTTTAAATAAAATAACAGAAAAAATTAAATTTCCACTACCAGTTATAGAAGACCTTATTGATTCACTTGGAGGCTATACATATTTTTCGACAATGGATTTAGCGTCGGGTTACCATCAAATACCATTGCACCCCGATTACACACACAAAACAGCATTTGTAACTCCAGAAGGACATTACGAATACTTAAGAGTACCCTTTGGGTTATGTAATGCCCCTGCGGAGTTTCAGAGATTGATGTCTGAAATTTTTGAACCTCTTCGAAATGTCGGTATCACTCCTTACCTGGACGATATTATTATTCCATCTAACACAATAAGTGAGGGTATAGAAAAATTGCAAAAAGTTTTCCAGATCATTGAAGAACATGGTCTAACTGTTAAATTATCAAAATCTCAATTTTTTTAAACTAAAATAACGTACCTAGGATATGTAATTAGCAATAATAATGTTTCTATTAGTGAAGAAAAAACAGTTGCTGTTAAAAATTTCCCTATGCCAAAGACTATTCACCAGGTAAGACAGTTTCTAGAGCTTACTGGTTATTTCAGAAAATTTATTAAAAATTACGCTTCTAAAACTAGTATATTAACAGATTTATTGAAAAAGGATTCGAAATGGAATTGGACTCAGAATCATACAGAACTGGTAAACCATCTGAAGGAAATGATTTGCTCAGTTCCCATTCTAGCCATATTCAGTCCAAATTTAGAAACACGTGTATACACAGACGCTAGCCAAGAAGGAATTGGAGGCATAATTATTCAACTCAATGGAGCAGAAGAAAAACCAGTAGCTTATTACAGCAAGAAAACTTCTCCTGACGAAAGAAAGTTTCACTCATTTGAATTAGAACTACTTGCCATTGTAAGAACTTTAGAACGATTTCGACACTATCTTTTGGGGATTCCGTTTACTATTTTCACTGATTGCAATGCCGTTAAAAATGCCATGTCAAAGCAAACAATTATTCCCAGAATCGCAAGATGGCTACTGTCACTACAAGAATATAATTTTAATATACAACACAAACAAGGAAAGATGATGCAGCACGTTGATGCCTTGAGTCGTAATCCAGAAATAACACAGGAGGAATGTGAACTAAGTATAAAACTAATAAATGAAAGAAGACTGGTTGAAAGAAGCCCAAGAACAGGATAATAATATTAAAGAAATAAAAGAAATATTATTATCTGGTGACATGCAAAACAACAAAAAAATCTTTAAAGAATTTGATTTACGTGGAAATAGAGTTTTCAGATTAACAGAAAGAGGTCAACGTTGGATGGTCCCAAAGAAATGTAGATGGCAGGTGGTAAAGCTGAATCATGATGATGTTGGTCATTTTGCGTTAGAAAAAACAGTAGAACGGATTAAACAAAGATATTGGTTCCCTAAAATGAAACATTTTGTTCGAAAGTATATCAAATCATGTCTTAACTGTTTATATCACAAATCGGCAGGAGGAAAGAAACCAGGTTATCTTCATCCTATTCCAAAGTATGCCAAACCGTTTCATACCTTACATATTGACCACCTTGGACCCTTCGTGGAAAGCAGTAAGAGAAATAGCCACCTATTAGTAGTTGTTGATGCATTTACAAAATTTGTGTTTCCCAGAGCAGTTCCGGATACTAAAGCTGTTAATGTAATAAAACAATTGTCAGAAATATTTTCTATTTTTGGCAATCCGAAAAGAATAGTAGCCGACGCTGGAACAGCTTTTACATCAAATGAATTCAATAAATTTTGTGAAAATAGAGGCATTCGGCTTCACATAACAGCAGTTGGTATGCCCAGAGGTAACGGACAAGTAGAACGAGTTAACAGATTACTATTAGATGCATTAGCCACAATGGGAGCTGACACTTCCAGCGATAATTGGGACTCAAATTTAGAAGCAATCCAACAAGGGATTAACAGTACGAAGCATAAAACAACA